TTCTGACTTAACGGATATTTTGATATTATTGACGACAAAAGTTTAAAATCATTGATTTCCTTACCTGTCCATTATTTTTGTTTGACGGAGTTGAATTGTTTGGACCACGTGGCATGAAAAATTTTGTCAAGGTCCTGATGAGAATGTGCAGACAACTGAACGTATGAAAGAAGACCATTGACTTGTGAGTCAAGACCGTTTACACGTGCAACTATCTATGTTGCTGACGTCAACGGACACATACCATTTGTATGTTGTGATTGGATAATTTAAATTAGCAAGCAGTGACACGAGTGAGATTTTATTAACGAAAAAATGAGAAAAATTAGTTTAAGGCGTGAAATATTATTTTGTACCGTAAATGGTACTTGAAATATTATAATGTACTGAAAATGTACTAAAAATCTAAACATACTTTCAATTTACTGGAAAAAGCAAAATGTACCAGAAAAGTACAAATGTACTAGGAACGGCAACACTGCTACTATATTCCTGATCCTATTCAACTCTTTTGTGGTGTGTGCAGTGTTTGTAACTCTTTATGATAAGGGATTTAAAAACCGCCATTTTGTATCTGGGAGGACCGTTCGAGCAGCAAGTGTTATATAATGGGTAGGATATTGATTTAATATATACCTTTTGCGAGTCAAAGAAATTTGTGATCAAACGACAAATCAAAGAAAAAGCCTCGATTAGATATTATGTAACCAATATCAAATATTTTCATGAACTAATTATGCATTTTTGTTTTTTTTTACCACTATTTATAATTTATTTTGTATACTAGTACATTCTATATATTAACAGGACTTATTATACTGGAATTATGGATGCAGATATTTAGTCTTACAGTTTAAAAATAATGTTCTTTATTAAGTTCACAGGTGAACTTAATTAAACGTTAATACTCAAATTCTCACTAAAATTAGAGGCTTCATTATCGATTCGTCTACGGTTTCACAGGGTAAGCTTTGAAAGACGTCCACTTCAATGTTTTTCTCCCTAATTTGCAAGATTTGACAAATAATGCTCAACGACCTTGTTCGAACGCTTGATGCTGTTTGCTACTGCCTGGTGATTAAACCAGTGCTTCTAAAAGCTAAAATTTGTCCTTTCTCAAAGTCTGTTAAATGAATTCCGCGAGGCATAATTGAAAAAACATGCACTTAAACATATTACTTTTACACTTTGAACTGACGAGAAATGAGGCGGTTTTATACTTATGTGGCAGTATGTAGATGGACTTCATCGCTATTCCGCAGTCAGCCACGAATTAGAAGCTCAAATTTCCTAAAATACGTTTTTATAATTAGGTGCTGAATTACACATTATAGATTTTAATATAAATAGATTATTACACGTAAAAATGTTTTTCAATCTATTAGTGCATGTTCTGACCTCAAACAATTGGTTTTTTCAGCAGTTTTTGTGGAGCACCTTACTTACAAGAAACAACCTTCTGATAAAAACTGTTGCAAATTAATAGTAATCAGCATTTCCAGCAGAAAAATTTTTGTCTCTCACTTTAAATCATCAGTTAAGTCAATTCAGACTTAACTGATGATTTAATAATATACTTTACATAATTCACTAAGATGATAAGTATAATCATCTTAGAGAAAACAGATTGAAAGCAAAAATGTATATGAACAGCTGTAACAGCTATGTTTATTTCGCTTTACTGTATCATTGTAACCGTTTGTATTTTTAAATTTACAAAGCTTGTATGGAAAATGTTAAAAATTTTGCATATCTTTTCTTTGTTTTTTGTAGCTTTGTCTAGATAGCTATAGTTGAAACCACTTTCAACTATAGCTATTAAGACGCAACCACCATATGGTTGCGTCTCGATATGGAGACTTGAAGCTACTACAACCATTCATGTGCGATGTGTAGTTTTGGCTAAAAAATGAAATATAGAAACACACACGTCCATATATATATATGTACATTTTTATGTAATATAGTTTTTTTTATATATATATAAAAGACTGTTTTTCTAAGTAATCTATAATGCAGATAACGATAGTGAAGATTAAGATAATTACATTATAGCCAATCTTACCCGTTTTCACAGAATGCAAGAATTAGGTCCCCCGTTTCCAGACTAATTAGAGACCTGGTCCCGATTCTATTTCTGAACGTCTCTTGTTCACGTCAAGTCAAACGAACTATTTTCAACGTTTCTGGAATGTTTACAATCGTTCTATAATCGAACCAATATTCGAATTTTATGTTTAAATTAAATTCGAACAAATTCAAACAAAACATTCGAAATAGAAAGCCACTTTCAACAACTTTCAGCGCCATATCTCCCGCACCCTTATAGCTATCGAGACGCAACCACCCTGGTGCACGAACATAGACTTGGGGCTACTACCACATACAAATACCATTAACGTGCGATGTGTACCTTTGGCGGAAAAGTGAAATATAGAGACATACACGTCCATTTATATATATATGTGTATGACACTTTTAAAATTTTATCGTTTGATTAAAGTTTATATCATTTCCAATAACAAGATGATATTGTTCGTAATGGGTTGACTCGACTTCCGAATTATCTATTAGTAAAAAATTGAAAAACGTTAAGGAAAAAATATGAAGTATGTAATACACCAATCGATGCAATAAAATATCAATAAAATGTCAGATTCTTTGAAAATTCTGATCAAAGGCTTCGAATAGTTTTAAGAATGTAAATTTAATTAGTTACCCTGATGTAAAAGTATTAAGTACTTTTACATCAGAGTAAGTACTCAAATTTACATTCTTATGATATGCTTTTGTGTTGTTATAAATAAATATGTTTGCAATAGTTTGTTGATGTAACGTTAATTAAGTTTATAAAGGAAATTCATAGCAAATAGCTAATTTTGTTTACTATCCCATAATATTTTAATAAAATACATCATTATTGTTATTATTAATGGCACTATAAAATTTTTAGAGATAATGAGTTTACGTAACCAGAATTTCTGAGAACAGTTTCATTTTGTTTTGTATAACCTAGACACGAATACAGACTGAGCATGAGTTCGAATTTACAAGAAGTTTGTCTGAGATGTTTCATCAGCCCTTGTTGGTCAACTGCTATTATATTTGGGTTGGACGCATTTGAAACTTGTAATTGTAAATGTTCAAAGAAAGACAAAGAATTTCAAAATACGAAATTGAAAAATATCTATATTCGATTTATCGAACTGATTTTACGCAGACATACAATTCTTCTCATATGGCAAGTAATCCCTGTAATCAATGAATATGCGATATGCATTGGTTGGTATGACGTATACGAAAGATATTCCATGTTATTTAAAATAGTGTTTTCTGTTATATATATCATTTATTGCATTGCATTGAAATTCATCAGACGCATCAAATTCGATTTGAATAAGCCATTAAGAAATAAATTCTTTCGAGTAAATATGATTAACGAAAATAACATCTTATTACAATATGTTACTTTGCTCTTTTCCTTTGTTTTAATAGTAGCCATTGATTTGTATCAAATTTCGATTACTGTATTTGCCTACCCTTACATAGAAATGAAGCAAAAATTTCATGGGGAAGCTCTCTTCTGTACTACATTCATCACCTTAAATGTAAGTTTTCTTATTGGTGGAATCGGTTACACCTTATTGTTAGGGGCATTGTTAATGCTGATCTCACATAAGGAATTTGAGCAATTGTCGATGGAATTGCTTTTAATAAAAAAAATAGATTATGATATACGAGAGAAGCTAAACGAATTAATGATGCATCATGAAGAACTTTGGGTTTTTGTGCAACAGTTCAATTCTAAATATAATTTAGTATTTGGGTTTGTTTATTTTGGAATCGTTTGGGTAACAAGTTTTTTATATTATGCCTTTTTGTTCTTAAAAGTTCATTATATCTTTAAATTGTTGATATTCCTATTGATGATACTATTCACTTGCATTAGCATAATTGCTGGCTGTCTGCTGTGCTCTTTAGCATTTACGGTAATTGCACTCTAAATGCACTATTGACATATGCTTTAGATATTTTATAGTTGCTTTTTCTTGTAGATGGAAAATACGTTTCAAGATATCAGACAATTTGCAGGATGTGACATTGGAGAAAATCAAAAGCGAAAGGTATGAAGTTTAAATAATATTTAAACAAATATTTTTTTTTAATGTTGACAATAATTTTAGATTTTGAACTTCATGAAAAGATTTGGAAAAGTCTCTCTCTGTCTCACAATTGGTATATTTTTGATTATTGACAAGAGAATTCCCCTGAAGGTTGTATTATTTTTTTAATTAATTGCGGTTTTGTAACTGGAAATAAATTGAGTTAAATTTAATTTTTCAGATGGCAAAAACGTTGCATTCAGTTTTCTCTGGTTTCAAAAAGCTAAAAAGCATTTCGAATGAAGAACAAAACTGTTCACAGATTTATAAAATTAATTTCACAGAAACGAATTAAAACAATTAATAAATAAAACCTCTGTAGGAATGTTTTATTAGAAAAGTTTTAGTATAAAGTCTTTCTCGGCAATTTTTGGTTAATAAAATGTGTCTTTGAAATTATTATGTTCGTTAAATGTATTTTATAGACGAATATAAATAAAGCATTACAGTTTATTATTGCCTAAATCATTTTTTGTCGAAAATATCGGTAAACAAGTCGCTATTATTTTTGTATTTAATTTTAAAATTACGCTTACAAATTTATTTTTGCAGTAAGCCAGTGGAAGTTATAATGCAGTCACTTACCTTTCTTTTAATATAGTGAAAATTATTTATTTATAGAGTTTTTTAAATTAGTTAGAAATGTCAAATGTATGACGTAAGATTTTCTTCTCTACAATTATTATATATAAAAAATACGTATAAATACAAGTAACACTGGAAAAATGTAGAAAGTTAACACTAAAACAAAAATATTTACATTATTAAAGTTTTTTATACCAACGTGTTATAACAGAGTTTATATTGACAGTGTTTACGAGTCAATCTAAGTTATTAAAGTATAATTTTTAAAATGTGTTTATGCAGATACAGATATATAAACAGAATATAACAGTAACTTAAGATGTTACGAAAACACACAAAAAATATTGTGTACTTTCTTGGAAGTATAATATAGTAAAACTCTTGCTGAAACAGATAGTTTTGATGCTTATAATGTTATTTATCAAGTATATAAAAGCAATGTAATCTGGTCGAGAGTTTGCACCTTATGAACAAGCTGGCCTGATGGAGTTATTAAAAGCATCCCTAAGAACATCGTTTCTTTAGACACTTTTCTTAGGTAAACTCTCCATGTTATTCGTTGCCTTATCTTAAAATTTTGTAAATCCGTACTGTAAAAATACTATGATTGAAATTCGATACATA